CTCTGTAAACCGCTTAGAGAGGCCTGAAAGGCCTATGAAGCGGTATATAAGTCTACTACTGCTATTGCTATATATAGTTCAATGACTCTTTTGACCATTATAATGGTCTTCGGCATATTACAGCCAGTGAATAGAATGTGCCAATCAAGAGGTGAGAGGTCGGTGTCTATGACATCATAGTTAGCTTTTTTAAAGTTATAATTGGGTATACTATTATTATTATTATTTTTGTAAGGACTTATATTGAGACAAAAGTCAATCATGCTGCGGTCACTATTGGAAAAGGGTTCTTTTATTTGTAGTACATACATGGAGTTCAAACTGTTGCAGAAGATGAGATCAAAGCAGTTGTTGGGTCTAGTGTTGTTAGTTACTAGTTGATCTAGTCCCAGATTAGTAACAGCATTGTACATGGTTTCATGTATGGATTAAGTTGTACATTCGTTTAGGATCCAATTAATAAGAGGTAGGTTGAGGTCACCAAAGAAAGGTAAGAGGGCGTGGGCAGGAGGCAGCACACATAAATAGTGAAGTTAATTTGTTTGCATGTACAATGTTGTAATCAGGGGCTCTGTAACAAAGTAAGATACAAAGTGTGGTGTTTAAGGACAGCTCACAGATGATGGTCTCAGGAAGAGTGAATTCATGTGTAACTTGAATATTTTTTAGATTTAGATTTTTTAGATTAGATATTTTTAATAGAAAATAGCAACTCCTCCTCCTCTACAGATTTCACGATCACAGTAGTCACAGTAGTGATAATGGAGTCAGGAAGGGATGCGTTCAGCCATGTTTCACAGATAAATATCATGTCAAATATAACTGTATGTAGTAAGAGGAATTCAAAATTCAAGCATTTTGTTTAAGAGGCTTCTTGTGTTAATTAGCTTGAATTTAAGGTCAGTAATGGTTGGTATTGAGGAAGTTAGGGGCCTGCATATCTAGCATTGGATGATGGGGGGTTGGATATTAGAAGATGGGTTACAGGACTTACTTTTGATGCAGTCAGCACAGTATGTATGTACATATGTATGTATGATTTTCTATCTATTTATCTATCTTATTTATCTATCTATCTACCTACCTATCAACCTATCTATCTTCCACATATACTATTGATGAGATATACTCTAATATATTCTTAAATAGTTTATTACTCATAAAGTATTTAAGAAATAATTGGTTTTCATATCTTAGTTAAAAGAAAGTTTTAATGAATATTAAAAGAACATGGGAATAGAAAAACACCAAATGGAATATAAGGTTTAATTATGTACAAATGATGTACATATGCTAATAAACTTTTGTTAAGATGTGAAACAAAATAAGAAAAGGTTAAAGATTGCATGACAGATTGAGCTACTAAGTTTGGATATAATGTAGACATGGACATGTGGGAGAGAGTGTGAGTATTGGTATTAAATTTACACTGTATCATAATTATAACTTTTATAAAATGGATGTCATTGGATGCATAGTATAGGGAACTATAAGGAAACAACATATGAAGATATTNCCCCTTACAGACCTCTTAGGAATGGGGTGAGATCGACAGTAGACTAAGGTTAAAGTTATGGGGGTTTGGGGAAAAACCCATATAGTCAGGTAGTGCATTTCTGGCCTTGACCATTCTGTTGCAAAAGTCGTATTTTCTGCAGTCGATTTTGAAGTGGTTTTTCTTAACTTTATATCTATTGTGTGCTCATGTATTGTTATGGTTGAAGTTGAAACTTCAAGGTAGGACATTGTAGCAGATAATTTTATGCACTATGCTTAGGTGAGACCGAAGGCGATGTAATTCTAACTTGTCCAAGCTCAAAATTTCAAGTCTAGTGGCATGAGGTATTCTGTTGTGAGCAGAGGAGCAGAGGACTCTTCTCATGAAGTATCTCTGAACTCACTTGATTATATTAATGTGTAAGATATGCAGTGCAGGTTCCAGACAGATGAGGTGTATTTGAGACTTGGTCTAGCAAATGTTTCATATACTCTGGTTACCAGAGAAGAAACTATGCAAGGTTAGGTTAACAACTCTCAATGCCTTTTTGGCAATGTTATTACAGTGGGCTCTGCCACTTAGATCATTAGATATGAGTACTCCAAAGCCCTTGATAGGAACCGGATACAAGGTGGTGTCCACCCAGCTTGTATTTTGTGTTCTGATTTTTTTTGGCCAGTGTTTAAGACAGAGCATTTGTTGGTGGAGATTTGAAGTTGCCAATTGTTTGACCACTTTGACACATAGTCAAGGTCTTTTTGAAGGATAGCAGAATTGTCGTGGTATTAAATAGTTTTATATCATCAGCAAAGAGATAATATGATCACAAAGGTCAATTATGTAAAGTATAATGAATGTTGGTCCTAATGCACTGCCTTGGGGGACACCGCTGTTAACAGGTTCAGGATTTGATATGGGGCTCCCCATGTTGATGACTTGTTGCCTGTTTCACAGGAACACAGCAATCCAATTATGGAGTGGTCCAGAGGGGTCCAGATGCCATAAGATTTTGGTTTTAGAAGTAGTTTATTGTGTACCACTGAATCAAAAGCTTTACAGAACCCTGTGTAAATTGCTTTGCCTTGATTGAGGTATATCCATATGTTTTTGCAGTGTAGGAGTTGTAGATTACAGGATACATTTTTCTTGAAACTAAATTCTTTGTTAGAGAGTAGGTTCATTTCTAAGTGGAGGGTAATGGATTGGTTTATGATTGATTCCATGACTTTTTAGGTAACGCAACATAAAGAGATTGGTCTGTATTTTTCAACTAGGTTGGGGCCTCTCTTTTTGAAGATAGGGATGACAGTGGCTAGAGACTATAGGCTGGGGAAGGAGCTTGTTCTGAAAGCTTTTTCAAAGATTATGCTTAAAGGATCTGCTATGGCAATGGAAAGCTTTTTTAAGAAGTAGCATATACCCCATAAGGTCCAATTAGATAGGGATGGTTTTAGGTTGCGTAATGCCTTTTTAATATTATCTTCTGTAAAATTGATTTGTGTTACTAGGAACTATTGGGCATGAGCCATTGTTGTTTACTAAGACAGAGCCAAAAATTGTGTTAAAGAGAGGTTGGTTTTAACAGCTTCATTGCTGCAGTCTTTGTGTTAGGTCCTTTCAGGGGTGGGATGGATCTTGAGTCTTTAAGTTGGTTGTTAATAAAATTTAAAGGCGTGGTTGGATTTCATGTGCAGAAGGTTTTCCTCTTGTTTGATGTGATAATTGGTGCATTCAATCTTTATCCGGTGGCATAGGTTTTTGTAGTGGCTTTTAAAGTTAGCAGTTTTGTTTTGTTTGTCAGAGAGATTCGTGGGG